GGAGCTATTTCAAGGAAATAGCATCTCCAGTCTAGAAAACCGAAATTAACGGCCATGGGGATTCATTGCACTGACCATGGACACCCTCTATCCGTTAAGTTGGCATAACATACATTAATCTATATAAATAAATTTAAATAAAGACTAGTATACAGTGATATAAAAATTGTGTTTATCTAAAATAAGTAACTAAAACTAGAACACAGGCTGACAATCTTGTCTTCTTTAAATTGTGAAGCAAGACAGCTACTTGCATCTTAAAAAGATTTATAACAGAAATATTCTTGTAAAGAATAAAAAGAATGTAAATGACAAAATTGTTTCAATTGTACCTCAAAACTCTTAGTGTCACTCAATATATCCTTAATATGCTGTGGTAGATTATTATAGACAGTGTCACGTAACTACGAACAAGGGCCCGCATTCATATGCAAATCCCGCGCATAGCTTGTGGTGGGAGGAGTTTCTTAACACTCGTTCTTCCACTGGCCACCTGTCACTTCTCACACCCTCCACCCCCTTGTCTGAAATTTTCTTCTGGACATTCAAGGTTACTCTTGGCCTTTTTCGAAGTTACGTGACACTTGCTATATACCCCTTTGTTCCCAAACAATAAACTCCCTTTTGGTATTTACTCAAATTTACAAGAGGTAGATGGAGATTATTTTGTTGTCTGGTATTTATTCCATGAATCTCTGAATTTACTATGAATTTGTTTCTGTTTTTTTATCACAAAGAGCATAAGAGACAGTATGTACTGAGATGCCAGAGGCAAGATTTCTAATTCTGTAAATAAGTTCCTGCAGGAATCCCTCCTTCTGCATCCCAACATAATTCTAATTATATTCTTTTGCATTCTAAAAGTTGTTATACTTTGGGGTGAGTTACCCCAAAAGGGTAAACCAAAATTTATAATAGAATTAAAATAAAAGTGATAAACCATTTTTAAGGTATTTATGGACGTGTATGGTTTAAGCAATCTCATTATGTAGCAGACTGCACTTAGTTTTGAACTAATATATTCAATGTAGTATTTCCAGCTCAATATATCATCAGTGAATTTTCCAAGAAATTTAATATTGGATATAGATATAATTTGTTTGTTATCATATACAATTTTTGTTTCAGATTTAGGATTACTATTTCTAGCTGTAAATTGAATGTAGTGGGTTTTGTTAAAATTTGTAGAAAGTTGGTTTACTTTGAACCAAATGACTGCACAGTGTTATATCCCAGAATATTATTCTCTTCTTAACATTTCCACACATTCTGGATGAAGATATCTCTTGGAGGACCAACAAAGAGAGAGTTCCCTATTCATGCTGACAATGTTAAAGTGTCTCTTACCCAAAGTACAAAATTGGGCAAGTAAGTTTTGAGAGTAATTTTAAAAATTTTATTCTAAAAGCTTCAGATATTAGTAACTAGAATTTTTCAAAATCATTTCCCTCCAGTTCTTTAAAGTGTTCCCAGCACTACGGCCATTGTTCAGAACAGTTTCTAAATTCTTGAACAGGAACGTCAAAATTTTGCTCACAGATGACTTATGTCCTCAGCATCCAAGAGACACTTTCCCTTCAGGACACACTTAAGTTTGGAAACAGCCAGAAGTCAGGTGGAGCCAAGTCAGAAGAGTGTGGCAGATTGTGCATGGAAGAGATGCCTTTTCGTACTAAAAACTGTGACACTCAACGTGAAGAATGTGCTGGCACTTTGTCGTTGCGAAGAATGAATGAAAGCAATTTCTCCACAAAAATCCTTGTTTGCACCTTACAGCATTAATAAGCCTTTTCAACACCTCCATGTAAAATGTCTGATTAACAATGGTCTCTTCAGGTACAAATCAAAGTAGATGATACTCTTGATGTCAAAAAAAAAAATGGACCAACATTGTTTTGATCTAGGAAATGGTATATTGGAAAAGATTTACCAATTGCCCATGCAAGCCGAAATCTGAATAAGGCAGAGAAAAATTATTCCACTAGTGAGAAGGAACTTTTGGCAATAGTTTGGGGAATGATAGATTTCAGACCCTATTTATATGAGAGGAAATTCAAACTTGCTAGTGATCATAAACCTCTCACATGGATAATGAACATGAAAGATCCAGGTTCAAGGCTACTATGATGGAGGATAAAACTGGAGGAATATGATTACGAGATAATATACAAAAAGTGCCCATGGAAATTACCACTACTGCCAACCAACCCTTTGAGAAATGTTGTTTGGATATTTTTTTATTTTTAATTCACATAGTGGGGGTTGGCGTCCAGTTGGGCCCACTCAGCATGGCGGCCACTGATTGGTCTATCGTACCTGCCCAGGTGATTATGATGTTGGAGAATTTGGTGGAATGAAGATAGGCAGGGGAAACCAAAGTACTCCAAGAAAACCTACCCCAGTGCCACTTTGTCCACCACAAATCCCACTTGGCCAGACCCGGGTTTGAACTCTGGCCGTCGTGGTAGGAAACCAGCAACTAACCGCTTGAGTTGTTTGGACATAATGGGTCTATTACCAGAAACACAGAAAGGAAATAAATATATATTAATCTTTCAAGATGAGTTAAGTAAAATTTCTTATAGCGATACCTATACCAAGGCAAGATGCAGAAACAGAAGCACAAGAGTTTGTAACATATGTCATTTTGAAACTAGGAGCGCCTAGAAAAATTTTGACAGACTGAGGATCAAATTTCATGAGTGAAGTATTCAAGAACACTTGTAAGATGTTAAAAATAAAGAAGTTAACAAACTACCCCTTTTCACCCCAAAAGTAATGGATGTATGGAAAGAAGTCACAGAATTCTGAAGGAGTATTTACGACACTATGTAGATGAGGATCAGAGTAATTGGGATGTATGGGTACTGTATGCAGTGTACATGTACACTTCTATACACAAATCCACAGGTTACACACCATTTGAGCTCGTGTATGGTTTTGAATTGAATTGAATTTATTTACATTCTATAAATCCTAAGCAGGTTAGTACCTTTGGATACAGAACATGTCAAAAGGTTACATACATAAGTACAGGCAATTTTAGCTTAAAAATTAATATAACTTAATTTTACATCATTCTCTATTTACATTGAAGTATTCATCTAAAGAGTAGAAGGAATGAGCATGTAGATAATTCTTTAACTCTGATTTAAACTTTTTAGTATCATTGCCAAAGTTTTTAATACTTTGTGGCAGATTGTTGAACACTTTTATGCCAGTAAAGTAGACTCCTTTTTGATATACTGATAAAGTTGATGAGGGTAGGTGGAAGTTATATTTTTGTCTAGTATTCATGTTATAGACATCAGAATTTAATTT